TAATAAGTAAACACCGGCAGCAGGGTTCTTGGCTCGTGCGTACGGGGCAGCGCTTGCTGCAGGTGCTGCAGACGCGCTGGTATTTTCCTCTAATTGCTGGCGGGATCGACCATCCTGATCGGGCTGCATTTTAGGGTGACCTCAACAGCGCCGCTTCTACCCTAGCAAATTGGAGGGGGCTTTTGTGCTGCAGTGAGAGGCTCATTGCTCTGAACCAGAAAGATTTGCCGGAGGTTCCCCAGAGAAGCCCAAAACATTCCATCACGGACAGTGCTCTGGGGCTCTGTTCCTCCTGGGAACTGCGCATTCTGGGGCTGCGTTGGAAACGCTCTTCGGCTCTGGGAAACCCTCCAAATGGCAAAACTTAGAGCGTTTGAGCGTTTTCTCTCTTGGAATATATGTCTCTCGTCACCGTGAGGGCACTTAGTCCTGCTCCCTGCAAGCCCCAGCCAATACCCGATGCCTTCAGCTTTCCCAGAGCCTAAAACTCTGTGGTTGCTACATTGCACGTGGGTGGATGAGGAATGGCTCCCTTAACCTGCTCCCCGTTCCACAGAGGCATCGCTTGCATTTCTGGGGTCACAGCTTTGAGAGCACTCATATCAAATTGGGCTTTGCCGAGTGGAACAGGGGTTGCCAAAGTGCTTCCTCCGTGTTTTCGGTCCGTTTCCATGCATGCTGCCGAATTCCTGGTGCTTGTTACAGGGCTCGTGTCACGTGCGGGCTCTTGAGGGCCAGCGGTGCCCTTTTTCCCTGGCTGCTTTAGAGGGCTTGTCAAGATGTGTTTCCTCCCTGTCCCCCTTTTCCCTTTCTTCCCCCTTTCCCTGAGAGGCAAAGGGGAATGCAAGTATCCCATGGAGTTTTCTTGGGATGAGATGAGGCAAAATACCATCAGCTTTGGGAAAGGGGGATGAGGTACTGGGTTTCGGTACCCAGTGCGTCCACACAGTAAAATCTGGCGGCCCCGCAGACTAGCTTAGCCAGGTAAGCGCGCCGGATGCTTTAATCAGAGCTAATCTAATTAACTGCAAGCATTAAGGCAGCTTTCCTTGCAGCTCAGCTCGTGGAAGTAAGCACCTTACACGGCCCCTGCTGCAGGTTCGCAGTGCTCGGGGAGGCACAGAAGCGAGCGGCGGTTTCACTCGAGTCGCTCGTGGGCTGGTTTTGTTTTCCCCTCCCCGAAACCTGGGTGCAAGATCAGAAACGTCGGCCCCGAGAGTAGGAACGACTGATCTGATCTTTTTTTTGTTTTCTCTCTTTCCAGGTGCGTGCTACTATGACGCTAATCAGTCCATGTACGTGTTTGGGGGCTGCACGCAGAGCAGTTGCAATGCTGCGTTCAACGATCTCTGGAGGCTTGACCTGAATAGCAAAGAGTGGATCCGGCCCCTGGCGTCAGGTGAGAAGCGATGGGTGCTCAGCAATCCACAGCCCTTTTCCCGACTCCCTTCCGTGCTGCCAGCACCGTTATTGACGTTTTGCCCCTGGGGCTGATCTTGTATTTCCCGCCGTGTGCGTTGCCGTTGTCTGAACGGTATTTGGAGAAGGGATGAGATGTGTCCGCGCGGGCTGCCCGCAGCAGCCAGGGCAGCCTTGGAAAACAGGTACATTCCTGCGGGCCACATGGAAAACGCCAGGGATTATTTCCCACACTGGTTTTGAGCTTGAAATGTCACACACAAAGTACTTCCCCCCCACCCCCTGTATATCTCTGTGTTTGACTGGAATAACTTGGGTAAAAGTTTAAGAATTGGAAGGAGAGAAGCTCTTTGTGGGTGAAAAGTGAGCACAGAAGTACCAGCTTCAGCAAAATTTTACACTTAATGAGGAGCAGGAAGAGGAGGAGGAGAGCAGCTCGGCATCAGCCGTGTGTCTCCTTGAGCCATCCCATGTGTTCTGGACTATTCAGTTATTGCTTGCAACTGCGTTTTCCCATAAGATCCTTCCTTCAAGTCCTCCAAAACCTCCTTCTGCCTCATGGGTTCTGTCTTGGGGTGACTCTGTGCGTGACAATGCTCTCTGGAGAAAGGGCTTCACGCTTTCACGTGGTTAAATTTTTTTGGGGGGGTGGGAGAAGATCACGTGTGACCTCTAAGCGCCACAATTAAGTGAACCGCATTGGGCTGAAGCACAGAGCATATACAGGCTTGACTGAAAACCAAGAGGGATTGCTAAGATAGTGCAGTGCAGGTGTGTGGAAAGTGACTTATTTTTGCCTCCTTCTCTGCTCTGTCTCCGGTCAGAGGTGGAGCAGGAGCTGCGAGGAGCATAACCAGGATCCTGTTTATGCTGCTCCCACTCGCGCTGCGCCAAACGGCTCGGCCGCCACCTCCGTCACCCCCTTGGTATTTTCACAAAGCAAAATTCCCACTGCCTTACTAGCAAGTAGCACTTTTTTATTATTATTATTATTTTTAAAAAGAGAGTTCTGTGGGAATATGTGTCAGAGTTGAGTCCCATGGGAAGAGCCCCCGAGGACATATTTCGGCTGCTGTCATGAGCGCGCGGAGCGAGATCGGATCGCAGCTGAAACCTGGGGCGGCCTCGCTGAACAGAGCGCTCTTGTTCACCGCCTTCCGCGAGGATGAGTCACCCGGGCTGCTGCCCGTGGGGGTTTCTTTGCACATAGCTGCTTTTTCTCCTTTCGGGTGCCCTAACCGAAGCGTTGGCACCCGCTGAAGGAAAAGTGACTGGAGGGGATGAAAGCCGAGAGCTTTGGAGCTTGGCGGGAGGGCGGAGGTGGGTCCTTCTCCAGGGGAACGCGGCGGCTGCTCCGCAGGTCCCGCGTGGCGACGCCGGCTCCTGTCCTCGTTGGAGCGTGGTGTCCAGGCAGGGCTCGTGTCCTCCGCGCACGCTCGGGTTCGCAGCCTGCTTTGGTCGTCGCGTCAGGCTGACCGTGTCGGCCGCTGCCCCCCAGCGCACACAGCCCAGAGCCCAGGCTCTGCCCATAGGCAGCTGCCGCCTTCCCACGTCAGGGAGTTTTTCTGGATTCACTCTCTCCACCACCCCGTATTTGCTGTTGGGGTGAAAAACACCCAGGTGGGGCCACCTAAAGGAAATGCGAACGCCCAAGCGCGATGCCCTGGACCCTGCCCAGCGCGATGGCTCAGCTGAGATGAAAGAGCTGCGTCCCGTTCCCCTCGGGAAGGGCTCTGTGCAGTTCAGGAGAAACCTCCTTTTTTTGGTATATAATTGCATCTTCCTTTTGCTTTTCTTACTCGGAGGCAATGAGACGTCAGAGTTGGATGATTCATCTCCCGGCTGAGCTGTTGCACTGAAGGAGTAAATATTTCGCCTTCAAAGAAATATTTGGGCTGGGTTCCTCTAGTCTTGGAGACGGAGGAGGGAGATAATTGCTTCAAAAAAAAACTAATTTTTGAGGTTTCCAAGTACATTTTGCTTAGATCTCAAACAATAGGGTTGCCTTTCGTAGGAGCCGAGGAAGCCGGTGCTCCCGGAGAGGAGGGCCCCGGCGGGGTGTGCGCTGTGGGCTGCGTCCTGGCTCTGCTCCTCGGGCCGCGCGGCTCCGCTCCGCGGGGAGCTCGCAGGTTTGTCCATGGAGCTCATGGGTTTGTCCGCACGGCTCCGCTCCGCGGGGAGCTCGCGGGGTTGTCCATGGAGCTCATGGGTTTGTCCGCACGGCTCCGCTCCGCGGGGAGCTCGCGGGGTTGTCCATGGAGCTCATGGGTTTGTCCGCACGGCTCCGCTCCGCGGGGAGCTCGCGGGGTTGTCCATGGAGCTCATGGGTTTGTCCGCACGGCTCCGCTCCGCGGGGAGCTCGCGGGGTTGTCCATGGAGCTCATGGGTTTGTCCGCACGGCTCCGCTCCGCGGGGAGCTCGCGGGGTTGTCCATGGAGCTCATGGGTTTGTCCGCACGGCTCCGCTCCGCGGGGAGCTCGCGGGGTTGTCCATGGAGCTCATGGGTTTGTCCGCACGGCTCCGCTCCGCGGGGAGCTCGCGGGGTTGTCCATGGAGCTCATGGGTTTGTCCGCACGGCTCCGCTCCGCGGGGAGCTCGCGGGGTTGTCCATGGAGCTCATGGGTTTGTCCGCACGGCTCCGCTCCGCGGGGAGCTCGCGGGGTTGTCCATGGAGCTCATGGGTTTGTCCGCACGGCTCCGCTCCGCGGGGAGCTCGCGGGGTTGTCCATGGAGCTCATGGGTTTGTCCGCACGGCTCCGCTCCGCGGGGAGCTCGCGGGGTTGTCCATGGAGCTCATGGGTTTGTCCGCACGGCTCCGCTCCGCGGGGAGCTCGCGGGGTTGTCCATGGAGCTCATGGGTTTGTCCGCACGGCTCCGCTCCGCGGGGAGCTCGCGGGGTTGTCCATGGAGCTCATGGGTTTGTCCGCACGGCTCCGCTCCGCGGGGAGCTCGCGGGGTTGTCCATGGAGCTCATGGGTTTGTCCGCACGGCTCCGCTCCGCGGGGAGCTCGCGGGGTTGTCCATGGAGCTCATGGGTTTGTCCGCACGGCTCCGCTCCGCGGGGAGCTCGCGGGGTTGTCCATGGAGCTCATGGGTTTGTCCGCACGGCTCCGCTCCGCGGGGAGCTCGCGGGGTTGTCCATGGAGCTCATGGGTTTGTCCGCACGGCTCCGCTCCGCGGGGAGCTCGCGGGGTTGTCCATGGAGCTCATGGGTTTGTCCGCACGGCTCCGCTCCGCGGGGAGCTCGCGGGGTTGTCCATGGAGCTCATGGGTTTGTCCGCACGGCTCCGCTCCGCGGGGAGCTCGCGGGGTTGTCCATGGAGCTCATGGGTTTGTCCGCACGGCTCCGCTCCGCGGGGAGCTCGCGGGGTTGTCCATGGAGCTCATGGGTTTGTCCGCACGGCTCCGCTCCGCGGGGAGCTCGCGGGGTTGTCCATGGAGCTCATGGGTTTGTCCGCACGGCTCCGCTCCGCGGGGAGCTCGCGGGGTTGTCCATGGAGCTCATGGGTTTGTCCGCACGGCTCCGCTCCGCGGGGAGCTCGCGGGGTTGTCCATGGAGCTCATGGGTTTGTCCGCACGGCTCCGCTCCGCGGGGAGCTCGCGGGGTTGTCCATGGAGCTCATGGGTTTGTCCGCACGGCTCCGCTCCGCGGGGAGCTCGCGGGGTTGTCCATGGAGCTCATGGGTTTGTCCGCACGGCTCCGCTCCGCGGGGAGCTCGCGGGGTTGTCCATGGAGCTCATGGGTTTGTCCGCACGGCTCCGCTCCGCGGGGAGCTCGCGGGGTTGTCCATGGAGCTCATGGGTTTGTCCGCACGGCTCCGCTCCGCGGGGAGCCCCCGCCGCTGCCTCCTGCCAACCCGGCTGTGCCCCGCTGCAGGGAGCTGCGACACCCCCGGGAACGGGCCGCGCTCTCTGCTCGGGTCACTGATGCCACCTCATTGCTGTTGTCACTGCTGTGCTGTCCTACCCAGCCGCTGCTCCCCAGGACAAGGTGCCTTCCCCTGAGCGCTTCCCTGCAGCCTTCGTTGCTCCGAACCCGGCTCCCGAGTGATCCCAAATGGCCAGGGAAGGAGGCGCCGGACGTTAATCTGGGCTCTCTGACCTCCAGCCTATCTGCACGGAGGAGGGTCCGATGGAGGCTTGGAGGTGGTTTAAGCTGGGGTTTTGTTCATGCAGCTGCAGACCGGGGTTAGTCTCATTCCTCTACCTCCAGCTCCGGGCGCTGCTCTTGCAAGGACGGCGAGCTCCCTTTTCCCGCCCTGATGCTGGAGGCTTTTGGAGAAAATCGATGCCAGCAAAACAGAGCCCTCTGAAGACATTATCAGCACGGATCGAGTGGAAAGGCATGAAAAATAGCTTGTTGCTTTAACCTCGTTAGATTTAGATACCGAGAGCTCGGCTCCCTGGGCGCCGATCCCTCCAGAGATTAACGGAAGGAATTTTTCCCACTATTGCCTCTGTCTCCAAGACTGGCATGGGGAATTTTTAGCTTCTCCGACGACGCACAGAGGTCGTCCTGAGCAGGGAACGGGCGCCCGGCAATCGAGGGCCAGTCGGTGCATGCGGCTTTTCCGAGTCCGGAGCGATGCAGCCGCCCTTTAACCTGCCCCCAGAGTCATCTGCAGATAGCACTGACGAGCGTTTCCTTCCAAAATTGGGGAAAACTATTTGTGTCCCAGTTGGTAAATAATAGGATTGCCATCCGCAAAAATAGGTTTCTCGAGGCTGGGAATCCTCGTACGGACAAATGAGCAGCCGTGTCCTGTCACGGCGCCGGACACCCCGGCGCTGCCCGGGCATTTGGAAATGCCCAAGGTTTTAGTGCTGGGAGAGTTAGGCTGACTGGGGGGAAACCTCAGAGATCTGCCTTTGAAAATGCAGTGTCTACCCTCAAATACTCCTTAGACAACCGCCAAAATTCCGTGCCGGGATTTCACAAAACTGGAGAGGATTTTACTTCTTGGAGAGTATCCGTTCGTCTGGGTCAGCTTACTTGACCCAAGGTATCCAAAAAGCCTTTGAGAGGTGGAGAGCAACCAAAGGAAAAAACGAACGGGTAAAATCGTCCGTTTTTCTTCTCTTTTTTTCAGGAAAGGATTAAATCCAAGCGTTCACTCCATGCTGAGCTCTAGTGTTCAGAGCTGCCAGGTCTCCGCTCGGAGCCGTGCGTGACACCGGGAAGGAAGCGGGCAGCCTGTTTCCTAGATGTGTGGCCGCGCATTCCCTCCCGTGCGATCACTTCCCACTCCTTGGTTTTCCCTTAGCTGTACAGGGAAAGTGCTGGGACTTTTGGAAAAGGTTCCCGAAGCTCCAGGCAGGCTGGGGAGCCACCTATCGGCGAGAGATTTCAGGGAAGCAGCCAAGGAAGCGGCTGCGCATTCCCGATCCGTCCCGTGAGCGGAGACGCGGTTCGGCAGCGGGATTGCTGCTTTGCTGTAGGCCTTAGGCACTGACCTGCGCTTCGGAACCTGCCTTTACGTCTTGCACTAAAGCGTAGGCTCTAGAAACCTCTCCTTGGATCTGGGAGGCGTACAGGATGACCAAGTGCTGCATCGTGCTTGTCTCCAGGCCAAGAGCAGAGTAATTTTCCCATGACGGTGAAATATTTGGTAAGTTTTGGCATGCAGCACAGCAGCTACAGGAGAAAAGCCTGAATTTTGGATGCACGAAGCGCAGTGCAGAAGTCGCCAGCTTTCTGAGCTGATCAACCCTCGCGCTACGAGGATGAGAGGTAAAGTGCAGGCAGGGGAGGAACTGGTTAAAGGAGGATGCCCAGAGCAGGACTGGACGCCGAGTGGGTGTTTTAATGTATCATCTGGGCACTTTTCTCACCCTGGTTCTGGAGAGCAGCATTCCAGAGAGCCGGCAGCAGGCTTTGGAGCATGCCGCTCTGCCACCCGGCTGGGCTTTACTCCCGTCACCAAAATCAGTCCGTTACTCATCCAGTGAGGTCTGATAGAGCAATTCTCCCTTCTCTGTGCGCATCCTTGAGCGAAGAGCAGCAGCAGGAGCTGATCAAGCCTTTCCCTCTCCAAATGTTGAGCTTTTTACTCAGCATCAGAGTAGCTTTGTGCAGCTTCTTCCTCCAAATAATGCAAGGTTGTAGTAGCACATAAAGCTGGGGATGGGGGAGCCAAGTAATTTAGCAGAGCTCTGCAAGGAAGGATGGGCAGCGATTACGCAGTCCGGCGTCTGCCTCCGCTTTCCCACGCTTTTGGGGCGCGATACATCCCACCGATCCCGTATCCCTGAGATTAAGCGCATTCCTCTGGGAATTTTCTCGCCCTGGGAGCAGGGCTGCCGGTGCAGGAAGGCACCGTTCGCCCCGGAGCCTTCCCCT